TTGGGAGGCTAAGGGAGGAGGATCCCTTGAGATCAGGAGTTCAAGACCAGCCTGGGCAACATAGTGAGATCTTGTCTCTAAGAAAAAAGAATTTTTTTGAGACAAAGGTCTGTCACCTTAGGTTCATAGTTTTAGGACTCACATGTGAAAAGGTCTCTGTTTACAGTTGCAGGAATCACATATGAAAGGGTTCCAGTTTACAGTTTCAGGATTCACATGTTAAAAGGTTTCTGGTTTGATCTTGTTTTAAGTAAAAATAGTGCCTTCTGGAGAGTTTCCCCAAGGCCTAGCCTGTTGTTTTCAGGAAGGAGATTCAGGAGGCGCCAGCTGGCCTGCTCTCTCTTTTATTGAGATGCACAGTGGATGATAGAGGGGGAGGGAATCCCAATGCCTGGGTCTCCCTCCTCATTCCCTGGGCTGGAATGCAGTGGCGCGATCTTGGCTCACTGCAACTTCTGCCTCCCTGGTTCAAGCAATTCTTCTGCCTCAGCATCCCGAGTATCTGGGATTCCAGTTGCATACCACCACACCAGGCTTATCTTTATTTATTTTTAGTAGAAACTGGGTATCACCATGTTGGTCAGGCTGGTCTTAAACTCCTGACCTTGCGATCTGTCTGCCCAGGCTCCCAAAGTTTTGGAATTACAAGCATGAGTCATTGTGCCTGGCCTATTTTTGTCATTGTTGTTTTTGAGATGGAGTCGGGTTTGTTAAGCAGGCTGGAGGGCAATGGCATGATCTCAACTAACTGCAACATCCACATCCTGGGCTCAAGCAATTTTTCTGCCTCAGTCTCCTGAGTAGCTGAGATTACAGGTGCCCGCCACCACGCCTGGGTAATTTTTGTATTTTTAGTAGAGATGGGGTTTCATCATGTAGGCCAGGCTGGTCTCAAACTCCTGAACTCAGGTGATCCACCCACTTCAGCATCCCAAAGTCCTGGGATTACATGCACAAGCCACCATGCCCCACCTCACATACATGTTTTTAAAAGCTCTTAACTCTTGGTATTATTTGTGTATTGACTTAATTTTGGGAGACAGGGTCTCACTCTGTCACCCGGGCTGGAGTGCAGAGACAAAATCTCGGCTCACTGCAACCTCTGCTTCCTGCGTTGAAGTGATTATCCAGCCTCAGCCTCCCGAGTAACTGGGAATAAAGCCCAGGCCACCACGCCCAGCTAATTTTTGTATTTTTTTTTTTTTTTTAGTAGAGACCGGATTTCACCATTTTAGCCGGGCAAGTCTGAACCTCCTGTCCTCAAGTGATCCTGTCCTCAACCTCCCAAAGAGTTGGGGTTACAGGCAAAAGCCACCACCCCTGGCCCATTCCTGCTATTATTTACATTGTATTTTTTCTTGTCAGACAATTAGAACATTTACATTTGCAATTGATATGTAGCTTGGTTTGCAGTTTAGCTTTCTGCTATTCTTTATTGGGAGTAGATTTTTCAAGTGTGGCTCAAAGACAATGGCAACTAGGGCTTGGAGTGCCTATGGGGTTGGTGCCGATGGGCTGGGGTAGGCATTGTCTGGATTAGGTATTGGAGCTGATGACCTCTCACCCCAGGCACCTTCTATTCAAATGACCCTAGTTAGTGGGATAGTGACAACTGCTATGAAATCTGCATCATTGTATATAGCACAGGGCCCTGAAACGTCATTGTTTAGTGAGTATTTACTGTCTGGTTGTGACCCCTGCCAAAGCCTAACTCTGCTACAATGTTGTCAAGTGGGTGCTGATGATGACTTTAAGGTTCATGTAGAGTTCACAAACTCTATTCACAAGTGCTACAGATAATTTTAAGAATTCAGAGCTGGACAGGGTGGCTCACACCTGCAATTCTAGCATCTGGGGAGACCCAAGCAGGAAGATCATTTGAGCCCAGGAGTTTGAGATCCGCCTGGGCAACATAGGGAGACACCATCTATACACACTCACACACAAAATTAGCCATGTGTGGTGATAGTATTTGTAGTCACAGCTACTCAGGAAGCTAAGGTGGGAGTGTCACTTAAACCTGGAAGATGGAGGTTGAAGTGAGCCGTGATTGCGCCACTGCACTCCAGTCTGGGCAATGGAGGGAGACCATATGTCAAAAAGAAAATAAACTGTTGTATCTATGTCTTCCTATGAATACATTTGAACATGGCTGGGTGTGGTGGCTCAAGCCTGTAATCCCAGCACTTTGGGAGGCCGAGGCGGGTGGATCACGAGGTCAAGAGATCGAGACCATCCTGGTCAACAAGGTGAAACCCCGTCTCTACTAAAAATACAAAAATTACCTGGGCATGGTGGTGCGCGCCTGTAGTCCCAGCTACTCGGGAGGCTGAGGCAGGAGAATTGCTTGAACCCAGAAGGCGAAGGTAGTGTCGAGCCGAGATCGCGCCATTGCACTCCAGTCTGGGTAACAAGAGCAAAACTCTGTCTCAAAAAAAAAAAAAAATTAGCTGGGTGTGGTGGCACTCTCCCATAGTCCCAGCTACTCAGGAGGCTAAGGCAGGGAAATTGCTTGAACCTGGGTGGTTGCAGTGAGTGGAGATTGCGCCACTGGACTCCAGCCTGGTGACAGAGCAAGACTGTGTCTCATAAATAAATAAATAAATATATAAATAGATGAATAAATAAATTAATATCTTAGGCCAGATGCAGTGGCTTACGCCTGTAATCCCAACACTTTGGGAGGCCTAGGCAGGAGGGTCATTTGAAGCCAGGAGTTCAACACAAGCATGGCCAACATAGTGAAACCTCGTCTCTACTAAAAATACAAAAATTAGCCAGGCGTGGTGACACAAACCTATAATGCCAGCTACTTGGGAGGTCGAGGCAGGAACCTGGGTGGCAGAGGTTGCAGTGAGCTGAGATGACCCCCACGCACTCCAGCCTTGGTGACAGTGAGTGAGACTGTTTCAGAAAACAAACAAGAAGAAATAAAAGTAATCTTAGTTTGAGAAGATTTGGAAAATCCAAGGAAAGCAGAAGGAAGAAAATAAAATGATCTGTTAGTTCCTGTCTGGGGGGAATTGTTAGGATTTTGTATAGACTCCTGTTGGATTTCTGTTTAGTCACATGTAACAAGGCATATTTTACTAAGACGCGAATATACTGAACATTTTGTTCTAGTCTTCCTTTTCACCTAAATGTATTATCAGTATTTTGGCATAGCAGTCATTTTTTTTCTACCATGTTATGACATTTTTTAATTTTTATTTTTTTGAGACAGGATCTTACTCTGTCACTTAGGCTTGAGTGCAGTGGCATAATCATAGCTCAGTGCAGCCTCAAGCTCCTGGGCTGAAAGGATCCTCCCACTTCAGCCTCCCAAGTAGCTGGGACCACAGGTGCATGCCGCCATCATCAGCTAATTTACTTAAAATTGTTTTGTACAGGCAGGATCTCCCTATGTCACCTAGGCTGGTCTCAAACTCTTGGGTTCAGGTAATTCTTCTCCTGTGGCCTCCCAAAGTGCTGGGGTTGCAGGTGTGAGCCACTGTGCCTGGCCTTGTACCACGTTTTTAGAAGCTGTATATGTTTATTTTATATATTAGGAAATCATAGATGTTTAGTTTTTGAAGAAGTGAGTTAATGGGGAAAATAATAAAATATGATATATGTCTAAACACCTTATTTTTAATTTAAACAACAGTATATATACATATTTTATATAAAAACTATATATATATATATATATATATATACACATGCACATACATACATAATACATACATATATTCTTTGAGATGCAGTCTCACTCTGTCACCCAGGCTGGAGTGCGGTGGTGCAATCACAGCTCACTGCAACCTCCACCTCACAGGTTCAAGTGATTCTCCTCCTTCAGCCTTCCAAGTAGCTGGGACTACAGGTGCCTGCCACCACACCCAGCTAATTTTTGTATATTTAGTAGAGATGGGGTTTCACCATATTGGCCAGGGTGGTCTCGAACTCTTGATCTCATGATCTGCCCACCTCGGACTCCCAATGTTCAGGGATTACAGGAGTGAGACCCTGCCCAGCTCTAAACAACAGCATATTCACTTTGCAATCTTTTTTTTGAGATAGAGTCTTACCGTGGCGGTGTTCAGGCTGGAGTGCATGAAGTACAGTGGTGCAGTCTCAGGTGAACGCATCATCAACCTCCTGGGCAGGAATGATCCTCCCATCTCAGCCTCCCTACTAGATGGGACTACAGCGGTGAGCCACACTGCCCTGTCTCACTTTGCAATCTTTGGCTACATGTGTAAAGCCCATTCTTGGAGAGAGGGTCCACTTATTCCAGTTTTTATTTCTATAGATTGGATGAATAAAGACAGAGCATAAAAGGCCTTTGTTTTTGGTACAGAGTTTTGCTCTTGTCCCCCAGGCTGGAGTGCAATGGTGAGAGATACCTACTCACCGCACAACCTCTGCCTCCTGAGTTCAGGGAATTCTCCTGCCTCAGCCTCCTGAAGAGCTGGGATTACAGATGCACACCACCATGACTGGCTAGTTTTTGTATTTTTGGTAGAAACAGCATTTCACCATGTCGGCTAGGCTGGTCTCAAACTCTTAACTTTAGGTAATCTGCCTCCCTTGACTTTCCAAAGTATGGGGATTACTGGCGTGAGCCACAGCACTTGGCTCAGAATGTAAAAGAACTTTAAAGACACTTAACACAACCTCCTAGATCAGGTGCAAATGTTTCCAGGCTAGGCCAGGTAGCTGTAATCCCAACACTTTGAGAGGCTGACGGGAGGATCACTTGAGGTGAGGAGTTGACACCAGCCTGGTCAACAAAACAAGATCCCCATCTTCATTTCTAAAGAAAGAAAAATTTCCAGGCTTTTTTTTTTTTTTATGGAGTCTTGCTCTGTCGCTCAGGCTGGAGTGAAGTGGCATGATCTCAGCTCACTGTAACTTCTGCCTCTGGGTTGAAACAAATCTCCTCACTCAGCCTCCCAAGTAGCTGGAACCACAGGCGTGTACAACCACACCTGGCTAATTTATTTATTTTCATTTTTTATCAGGGGAAAGCGCAAATGCAGTCCCCCACTACCATACATTTTGCAGTTCAGTTTCCCACGTTTGAGGAAATCACAAGGGTCAGCACATCCAGAGTGCAATGGGTGAGCCTCACCCTGGGAAAATTACCTTCATGACCATGGTATCTCCCCTGCCAGGCAATTTTTGTGTTTTTAGTAGAGATGGGGTTTCACCATGTTGGCCAGGCTGGGGTCAAATTTCTGACATCAGCTTAACCACCCACCCTGGCCTCCCAAAGTGCTGGGATTACAGGCACAAGCCACCTGGCCCACCCTCACATGTATCTGTTTTTCAAAGCTCTTCACTCTTGGCATTATTTATTTATTTATTGGAGACAGGGTGCCACTCTGTGGGCCAGGCTGGGGTGCAGTGGCACAATCACAGCTTACTGCAAACTCCGCTTTCTGGGTTCAAGTGACCCTAGGGCCTCAGCCTTCTGAGTAACTGGGATTACAGGCACGCTTCAGTAATTTTTGTATTTTTTTCAGTAGAGACTGGGTTTCACCATGTTAGCCAGGCTGGCCTCAACCTCCTGATCTCGAGTAATCCACCCATCTCAGCCTCCCAAAGTCCTGGGGCTACAGGCATGAGCCACCCTGCCCAGCCCATTCCTGCCATTATTTAAATTGTATTTTTTTATTGTCAAATAATTTACATTTGGAATCGATATTTAGTTTTACTTGTGGTGTAGCTTTCTGCTCTTTTTTTTTTTTTTAACCAGCAATTATGCTTCTAAAGTGTTTCTCAGAGAGAATTGGCAACAATAGCTTACAATGCAAATGGAGTTGGGGCCCGATGGCCTGGGGGTCTGTATTGTCTGAATCAAATACTGGAATTGATGACCCCTCACGCCCAGGCACCTTCTATTCAAATGATCATAGTTAATGGGATATTGACAACTACTAGGGAATCTGTATCTTTGTATACAGCCTGGGGCCCTGAAAATAGTCATTGTTTAGTGGATGTTTACTGGCTGGCTGAGATTCCTGCAGAAGCCTAACTCCGCTACAATGTTCTCAGGAGAATGCCAATTATGGCTTTAAAGTTCATAAACTCTATTCACATATGCTACAGATCTACAGATAATTTTAAGAATTCAAGGCTAGGCTTGGTGGCTCATACCTGCAATTCCAGCATTTTGGGAGACCCAGGCAGGAAGATCTTTTGAATCCTGGAGCTCCAGACCAGCCTTGGCAACATAGGGAGACTTCATCTCCCCAAAATAAATAAATAAATAAATTAGCCAGGTGTGGTGACAGCACCTACAGTCCCAGCTACTCAGGAAGCTGAGGTGGGAGGATCACTTAAACCTGGGGGGGTCAGCATTGCAGTGAGTCCTGATGATGCCACTGCACTCTAGTCTGGGCAACAGAGGGAGATCCTATTGTGATATAGCTGGCCTAGAGTTAGAACCTGTACAATGCCATTTTATAAAATGACAGAACTGTTTCCGTCCTCCTCACAATGACTGCTAACCTTGGCTTCTGTAAACTGCTAGTTTACTTCGCAGAATGCAGAGAGGTAAAGCTGCATACCTTCTCTTATCTGTAACTGCCAGAATTGCTGGCCTTTGTTTACCAGTAATGACCAGAGTAAGCACCCCCAGATAATTCCATCCTGGCGCCAAGCAACTAAAAAATCTGTGGACCCCACACCTGCCCAAATAATGTATAAACTAATGTTTATCTTGACTTCTGTAAACCACTTAAGTGGCAATTGGAATGACAAAAGTCCCCTGGCCCTTGGGATGTCTGGAGTCCCCTCATCCTCCTCTCTGCCCAGGAGGTGATTTACAGCCCCCAAAATGTCTGAAGATTTTCATCCCCATCCCCACTCCTCACCCCCACTCCCAAGGTGGTTTTTCAGGTATGAAAAGGTCTTGTCACCCTTCTTTCTCTGCCACGGGTTGGAGAGACGTGAGTCCTCCGTGGTTGCCGGCAATAAACCCTGCAATTTGGCATACTTTTGTCTTGGTGTTGACTTTCTATGCTTGGTCCGATACAACAGTATGTCAAAAAGTAAATAAACTGTTTTATCTATGTCTTCCTATGAAAATTTGAACTTAGGACCCTTTCCATCAAATCCTGTATTTATACCATCCAAAAAGAATTTACCTGATGGAGTGAAACCACTGTGAGTCCCCTGTGGTTCTAGGACAGCAGCACCTTTTAACACAGGTGCTTGTCCTGTGCACCCTGGTCTCTGATTCAATAACAATATGTCACTTAAGCCCTAGTGTCTTAGAAAAGAAGACAGTGTGAGCATCTCTGATAGAGGATGAGCAGAAAGAAGTCAGAAATCTGTACAGGATCAATCCAGGCTGTGACCTTTCCAGAGCTTTCCCCCAGCTCTGACCTGCCCTCCTCCTCCCTGGGGTGCCTCCTGGTGTCCCCCCACCCTTGGGTGACAGGGGTGCTGTGCACTCCCCCATGGTTTACCCTGCAGAGGAAATTCAGTCATTCCCAGGTTTATTCTGTGTCACTGCAGTCCATTCTCCACAGAAACTGAGTTTCTATCTCACTGAGTGACCTCCAAGTGCTCATGTAGCACCAAAAGCCTCTTCTGTCACAATCATGTTTTTGATTATCAATTTAGGAGCACTTCCACATGAAAAGTTAGAGAGACTAAGAAAAAATGAAGTAATATTTCTTCTGATTATAAAAATAATCTTAGGCCAGATGCAGTCGCTCATGCCTGTAATCCTAGCACTTTGGGGAGCTGAGGCCAGCAGATGAATTCAGGCCAGAAGTTCAAGACCAGCCTGGCCAACATGGTGAAATTTCATCTCTACAAAAATTATAAAAATTAGCTGTGGGTGGTGGCTCATGTCTGTAATCCCAGCTACTTGAAAGGTTGAGGCAGGAGAATCACTTGAACCTTGGAGGAAGTGATTGCAGTGAGCTGAGACCTCACCACTGACCTCCAGCCTGGGTGACAGTGAGTGAGACTCTGTTTTTTTTAAAAAGGAAGAAATAAAAGTAATCTTAGTTTTAGAAGATTTGGAAAACCCAAGGAAAACAGAAGGAAGAAAATAAAATGATCTGTTAGTTCCTGTCTGGGGGGAATTGTTAGGATTTTGTATAGACTCCTGTTGGATTTCTGTTTAGTCATATGTAACAAGGCATACTTTACTAAAAGGTGAATGTGCTGCTCATTTTGTTCTAACCTGCCTTTTCACTTAATTGTATTAGCAGTATTTTAGCATATCAGTCCATTTTCTTCTACTGTGCTTCATTTTTTTATTCATCCTTTTTTATATTTTTATCTTTAATTTTCATTTTATTTATTTTTTATTATTATACTTAAAGTTCTGGGGTACATTTGAGATGGAGTCTTGCTCTGTTGCCCACACTGCAGGGCACTGGGCACAATCTGGGCTCACTGCAACCTCTGTCAGAGGTTCAAGCCATTCTTCCGCCTCAGCCTCTGGAGTAGTGGGACTACAGGCACCTACCATTACGCCCAGCTTATTTTTGTGTTTTTAGTAGATATGTGGTTTCACCATGTTAGCCAGGCTGGTCTTGAACTCCTGACCTCAGGTGATTTGCCCACCTTGGCATTCCAGAGCGCTGGGATTACAGGTATGAGCCACTGGGCCCAGCCTCATAGCTCAGTGCAGCCTCAAGCTCCTGGGTTCAAGTGATCCTCCCACTTCAGCCTCCCAATTAGCTGGGACCACAGGTGCATGCCGCCATGATCAGCTAATTTCCTCAAAATTGTTTTGTAGAGACAGAATCTCCCTATGTCACCTAGGCTGGCCTCAAACTCTTGGGCTCACTTAATCCTGCCACTGTGGCCTCCCAAAGTGCTGGGATTCCAGGTGTGAGCCAACGTGCCTGGCCTCGCACCATGTTTTTAGAAGCTGTATATGTTTATTTTATATGTTAGGGAACAGTAGATGTTTAGTTATTGAAGAAGTGAGATAATGTGGAAAATAATAAAATCTATGTATAAACACTTTAAATTTAAACAACACTATATTCACTTTGCAATCTTTTGTTTTTTTTTTTCTTTTGAGATAGAGTCTCTGTCACTCAGGCTGGAGTGCATGAAGTGCAGTGGCATGGTCTCGAGTGAATGCATCCTCAATCTCCTGGGCTGCAATAACCCTCCCATCTCAGGCTCCCTCCTAGATGGGACTACAGCTACATTTTTTGTTGTTGTTGTAAATTTTATAGAGACAAGGTTTTGCCATGTTGTCCAGGCTGGTCTCGAATTGCTGGACTCAAGTGATCCGCCCGCCTCAGCCTCCAAAAGTGCTGCAATAAAAGGTGCGAGCCACCTCGCCCCATCTCACTTTGCAATCTTTTGGCTACAGGCATAAAGCCTATTCTTGGAGAGAGGGTCCACTTATTCCAGTTTCTTGTCTAAACCATCCCTGTAATATCTGGTTTTGATTTCTAAACAATGGATGAATAAAGACAGAACATAAGGCCGGGCTGTCACCCGGGCTGGAGTGCAGAGACAAAATCTCGGCTCACTGCAACCTCTGCTTCCTGCGTTGAAGTCATTATCCAGCCTCAGCCTCCCGAGTAACTGGGAATAAAGCCCAGGCCACCACGCCCAGCTAATTTTTGTATTTTTTTTTTTTTTAGTAGAGACCGGATTTCACCATTTTAGCCGGGCAAGTCTGAACCTCCTGTCCTCAAGTGATCCGCCTACCTCAACCTCCCAAAGAGTTAGGGTTACAGGCAAAAGCCACCACCCCTGGCCCATTCCTGCTATTATTTACATTGTATTTTTTCTTGTCAGACAATTAGAACATTTACATTTGCAATTGATATGTAGCTTGGTTTGCAGTTTAGCTTTCTGCTATTCTTTATTGGGAGTAGATTTTTCAAGTGTGGCTCAAAGACAATGGCAACTAGGGCTTGGAGTGCCTGTGGGGTTGGTGCCGATGGGCTGGGGTAGGCATTGTCTGGATTAGATATTGGAGCTGATGACCTCTCACCCCAGGCACCTTCTATTCAAATGACCCTAGTTAGTGGGATAGTGACAACTGCTATGAAATCTGCATCATTGTATATAGCACAGGGCCCTGAAAAGTCATTGTTTAGTGAGTATTTACTGTCTGGTTGTGACCCCTGCCAAAGCCTAACTCTGCTACAATGTTGTCAAGTGGGTGCCGATGACTTTAAGGTTCAT